ATAACGAAGCCAGGACAACCACAAATCCAACAGATCAAGATTGCCAAGTTTCGACCTCCTTGAATGGCAACGATTGAGAATCGAAACCGCCAGATCAAAATCAGACCACAAACTATTAATCAGGCAATGAGGTCTTTGTATTAACGTCAAGGCCAKAAAACCCTAATGACAATTTGTGGGCACTCCAGTTTTCCTCGAACAAACACCTCCAACAAATAGATATTCCAATTCTCTTCACTAAACATGAGTCATCACAACACACATCACTTACCATCTTGTAGAGATCGAGGTTATTAGAACAAACCATCCTTACATGATAGAAGTTGATGGTGGAAATCACCAGTTCAGAGTCAGACTGCCTCCTGTTAATCACGCCAGAAATTCTTCTACTCMCACCGAGATCTAGAACCTAAAGGCRAGCATTTAGCACACGGATTTTCCTCGGGAAAGCTGATAATCAAATTCTCTTGAACGACAAAGRCACGGGAAGAATTTTGGTCATCGTTACCCACCTCACTTCTCTTCTGTCAAACACGTCATTTGAAGTCAGACAAAGACTGCATCAATTTGATGCCCAGTCAYAGGCGCAGCATCAAAGTGGAGCCGCACCAACTCAACATTCGAAGACGTTCAGGAARKCTGATAAGCGTGCACTCTTGAAAAGCAAAAGTACAGAATGAATTTTGGTCGTCATCACCAACCTCGCTTCTCATCTGTCAAACACATCATGTCGAGTCAGACGAGGAGTGTACGAATYTGATACCGAGTCACAGGCGCAGCACCAAAAGGAGCSGCACCAACTGAACATTCGAAGAAGTTCGCAATCCAATTGACCGGAATTCGACCCAATCCCGTCGATGTTGATCGTCSTTGTCGTCCCATTCACGCGCCGAGCTTTCTACTCAAGTTTGCCACAAAACAGGTGTAGAGGAGCTTCGACATAAGCATCTCATCCCACTGTAAACACAAGTTTCAATCTCCGACAATGATTCTCCATCCCACCACTAGAATCCTGTTATTGTTCCGTATCTATAACCAAGGGCTCACGCCCCTGATTAGTTGAAAATTCTGATATGACGCGACGCACGGATCCTGCCTAACGACTTGCCTCACTTTTCTCCCTTTCCCACCATAGTCAATTAGGATTGCCCACACTAGGTCGACCAGGATCAGAGCACGACGAGAGCACGGTGATACTCTCTCGAGATGATACCCCTTGGAGCCCGTGCTCCCTTTCACCCCACCATCTCCATCGTCCCCAACGACCGGTTCTGGCTGCACGCTGCTTCCAACGCAGCAGCGCTACGCGATCCCCTACCGCCCGTGCGTCGTGTATTGGTATTGTCCCTTGGTAACGAATTTCAATATGACCCTGAGGCAAAAGTGTTTCAGTTTATTTTTCTGCATAACATATTTTGTTTTTCAGATTTTTTTTGATTTTGTTTTTTTTGTCTTTTTTCCGTACGTACGGCCCGTACGACCACATGGCATGTGATCGGTAGAGCTCTATTTCGTTTGAAATTCACTACGAATACTACGTTGTTGAAAAAAACCAGGCTATTTTTTTGGGTGCCCGGGCACCCAACTTTTGCCCGGGTGCCCGGCCAAGCATGGGTCCGGGCAGCCCGCAAAAAAAATTAAAAATCAAGAACTTCTGGAAAAAAATTATGTTGTGTAGAATTGCAATACAAACGACTTTTGGCTGAGGGTCATATTAGAATTCCTCAGGGAATGGGAGATGAAAAACGAAATTAATTCAAATAATAGAATCACATTGAGGCACCCCCCTTTAAGCCCCTTCAAACCCCTTTAGCCCCTTTAAAACCAATTTATACCCCCCTGCCCCCCTCTTGAAAGCCGACTTACCAGTTTATACCCCCCTCCCCCCTTCTTGAAAGCCGACTTGCAAAAAAAGAAATGAGCCTGGATCTGCGGTCCTCTTTGAGAGCGCAGAAAGACAAAAAAAAAAAAATGGTAGGTTTTTTTTTTTTTATTGCACGCCCGGGTACCCCAGGCGTCGGACCTCCCCCTGGCGGGCAGTACCGGCCGGGCATGAAAATCTTCGTGGGAAAAACTTGAAATTGAGAGGCCCACGAAATAGGCTTGAGGCCTATGTCGTTTGAAAGTCGGTACTACGAAAGCCATGTTGAAATTTAGGCCGAAAACGTTTTGTTTTTTTTTTGTTTTTTTTTTCACTATACCGTGTACTTGATAGGCGTAAAGTCACTACTACGAAAACTATTTTGAAACTTATGGCGAAAACGTTTTTTTGTTTTTTTGGTTGAAAACGATGTGGATCATGTGAAGTGACTCGAACGTTCGTTTTTCCCGACCGCATCACTGCCTGCATGAGCGGAGAAGCATTTTGTCATTCGCTTCCTTTGGATTTTTTTTATTTTTTTTTGAAAGGTCGTGCAGGTTCACTATAGGCCTCGTTAGACACTCCTTGGGGACGTGAAATCCACAAGGACGCGCTCGTTCCACCTGTCCTTGGGGACGAAATTGAAAAAGAAATGTGAAAACGCCACAAGGAAAATTCCTTGTGGCATCCTTGTGACCCCAGCCATTTCTTCCTTGTGCCCAAGGGACCTCGTGAGGTCCCTTGGACACAAGGAATCCGCGTTTCACGGAGAGGAGAGTAGATAGACGTTACAGCTGAGAATCTGCATCGTGGCGGCACCCTACTGGCTGAAGGCCTGAAGCACAACTGTTTTTTTTTTTCTTTTTTCCTTTTTTTTCTGACATCAGGCTTAGGAAATGTCCTCGGGCGACGTCCCCGAGGACAGGTGGAACGAAGAGCCCAAATTCCCTTACGAGCCACAAGGAAAATTCCTTGTGGCTCAAGGAATTCGTAAGGAGTGTCTAACGAGGCCCTATGTATTGAATGGGGTTGCCACTCTGAATGGCATTCCACTTGAAAATGGAAAATTAAAGAGGAAATCACTTGTCAATCGTCCGTTAAAACCGAAACCCGGACGATACAGAGAAGATTAGCATCGCCCCGGTGGAAGGATGACATGCATGGATCGAGAAATCAGTTGTCTTCATCTCTTCCTTGCTGTGAATGCAGATATAGGGCCTCGCTCTACTACTCGACACTCTAGATGCATTTGTTGGATGCCTTTCTGGACCAGGTGCGATTGGAGAAGTCCATGACGTGGAATGTATCGGGACGGTTATGAGCACGAGATGCATATGAAGTGTTATGTTGACACTCTAGATGCATTTGGACGCCTTTCTGGACAAGGTGCGTTTGGAGGAGTCCAAGATGTGGAATGTATTGGGATGGTTATGAGCACGAGATGCATGTAGAGTGTTGTGTAGTGGAGCGAGGCCCATAAGCTATACGTGTTCTGAGCATGTCCTGTCACGTTATGCCTCGCACAGCTGTCGACTTATTTTGTGTTCTTCTGAGGTTTATATAGCTGCTAGCATCAGGCTTTGGAGGTGGCGGGATCGTCTCTGGCACGGGAAGGCCCTGAGCTGGGACTGCAAATCCTGTGGTAAATTTTGTAAGTCTGCGTTCCCGAGTAGGTTGATCCCAGAAACCATCCAAAAAAAAAATAAAAAAAAAAATAAAAAAAATGCCAACCATTGAGCATGTGTTTATGCAATGTCCTGGTGGCATCTGGCTTTGGAGCTGGTGGGATCATATCTGGGGCCAGCGGGGACCACAAATGGGGTTGGAAAGGCTATTCTACTGGGATCTTCGTTATGATCTGATGCATATGAGCATTTCACACAGAATCTCTTTGCTATTGGAAGGAGAGCGGTTCTGGAGACAGGGGCCCTTTCCAGTTGATAGGTACAGAATCTCTTTACTATAAGTGAATTCTGGTCCATCTAGCCTGGGCCCTTTCGAGTTGATAGGTACAGAATCTGGGCCCTTTTCCAGTTGATAGGTACAGAATCTGGGCCCTTTCCAGTTGCTAGGTACATAATCTCTTTACTACAAGTGCATTCTGGTCCATCTAGCCTGGGCCCTTTCCAGTTGATAGGTACAGAATCTGGGCCCTTTCCAGTTGATAGGTACAGAATCTCTTTACTATAATAAGTGAATTCAGGTCCATCTAGCCTGGGCCCTTTGGTTGAGGAGATGTACCTATCAATTGGAAAGGGCCCAGGCTTGATGGACCATAATTCACTGATACAGTTTTCTTTTTCAAATTCTCAGCCTTTTGGCTAATAAGATGAAGTCTAATACTGTTCTGATCAGTTTCATATCTGATCCTTCCAAAACAAAAAAAAAAGAGAAAAAAAAGAGGTTAAAACTTAAAATGGAGATCTCAACTCGATGGAAGAAGGGGCTCGTTAGACACTCCTCGGGGCGTCCTCTGGCTCCGGGGAAAAATCCTCGGGGGTGCCCGAGGAATTTCCCGCTTTCGTTCCACTTCTCCCTCGGGACGATGCCCGAGGATGCTCCGAGGAGTGGCCGCGGGGAGACGTGTAATTTTATACGCGGACGCGGGACGAATGTTTGGGCGGTGGTCCATCGTCCGGTGTCCGTGTGAGCGGCCTTGGTCCAGCGCGTTTGGGCGTCGAGTTCGAAAAGGTACTGCCGCCGCCGTCCAAGGGAAAAAAATTATGCGCTGGCGCGTTTGCTTTCAAAATTCAAATTTCGAATGGGCTGACCATGCCCTCTGCTGAGGTTCCGCGGGGACATGCGGGCGTGGGACGACCCCATCAAGGAATCCCCGGGGTTTTGTAGTGGGCATCACGCGGAGGAGATGCTAGCCATTTGGGCGTCAAGAGAAGGTTCCACACGTATTAGAAGACATGTCGCACCGTGGCTCGATCCACTGTTCTGAGCGTCGTGTTCCGCCTTGCGCCTTTGTGCTCACGCACTGCTAACCGACCCCCATCTCCGCCAACTTCTTCGTGTGCAGTGTCCTTAGCTGCCGGCGACCTGTTGAGTGTTGGTCGAGTTCCGTTCAAGAGGATGACAGCGATGTCTGAGGTGGTGAATGTGCGTTCCGTGGGTGACGGGGACGATGGCGGGGCCAGGTTGTCCCCTCTGGAGAGGGCTGCTGTGTCGTCTGCCGTAGCCGCCGTCATCATGCTTTGCGACATGGAGGTGGAAGGTGAACGGCGGTGGGCACGGCCACGCGGTTGACGAAGGAAGCTGATGCCGCCGGCGACGTCTGAAGGGTTGGACAGCACTGCCATCTGTGACGTCGTGTTGGAGGTATGCTGTGCACTGGGGTGTGGGGCACTACCAAGGGCGACGCCGAGGTGGTGGGTAAAAAGGAGGACGGGGCGAACTTGGGAGGATCTTCGGCCTGCAGACGACGCCACTGACGACTACTTCCGCGACAAGTTACGAATGTCTCCACGTGTATTCCGCGAGATCGTCGAGAACCTGTCGCCGATTCTCCAGCGACGTGTGACGTTCTATAGAGAGTCGTTGCAACCAGACCACATCGTCGCCTACGCGCTGTACAGGTGGGCGTCGGGCGGGACATACGAGAGCAGTAGCTGCAACTTTGGAATCGGCAGGGCTTCAGGTTTGGTGGCCGTCCGGTCCGTCACTGCTGCGCTGCTCTCGGTGTACAGGGAGAAGGTGGCGTGGCCGACCGGGGTGCGGAAGGCGATCGTTCTGCGTGCTTTTGCAGACAAGGGTTTCCCGAACTGCCACGGGTGCATCGACTGCACCCATATCTATGTGGACAAGCCGGCGAACGCACCTGCGGAAGACTACTACGTCCACAACATACGATTCTCCGTGGTGGCCCAAGTGGTGGTCGACTTGGACTTGCACATCCTCGACGTGTTCGTGGGCTATCCGGGGAGCTGCCACGACGTCAGGATCATCCATCTCTCCAGTCTATGGTCGCGGGCGGCGGCGGGAGAGTTGTTCAGAGGGCCTCCTGTGCTGCTACCGTTTCAAGTGCAGACGAATGGTTATCTGCTGGCCGACAATGGTTACCCGCCGAGCGAATGGATTGTTGTCCCCTTTGGCCGCGCGGCGCAGTCCCCACTGGAGACCCGTTTCGACAACAAGCAGAAGATCGTGAGGGGGGCGGTGGAGAGGGCCTTCGGGAGACTGAAGGGAATGTGGCGCTTGTTCCTAGGCTCGCACAAGACGAACATGGAGACCTTGCCCCAGCAGTTCATGGCCGTCTGCATCTTGCACAACATCCTGATCGACGTTGACATCCCTTTCGACGAGAACTTGCTGTGGGAGGTCGACGCCAATTGAGTGCGTCGTCGGGTGGATCTCGGGATCCATCCCCCCCCCAGGCCATTGTGCATGGAAACCTCCACGGGGGAAGCGGTCATGCTGCGCCAGGCGTTGACGGAGCGAATGACGCAGAGATGACGGCAGAAGGCGGTGCGGGGCGGCAGGAGCTGCGGCGAACGATGATGGAAGATATTTTCACGACGGCGGTTGAAGGAAGCAATGTGTGGAGAGACGATGGGCGCAATAGATGTGCCATGCCGTCCAACTTTCGGTCGCCATTGAGGGACGCAGAGCGGAGAGCGACAATCATGCGTCGTGGTCCCCACAAGATATGCCGTCCACATTTTCGCTTCTCAGAAGTTTGTTTTCATTGTTTGTTTTGATCTGCGGCTTTGGTCTTGAGCGTTGATAGTGGTGCGTTCCCTGTTAGTGTGGTAGGCATTGGGCGGCGGATGCGGCGGTGGCGGCCCCTTACTGTCGTCAGTGCACGACAATGTTATGGAATTCGAGTCTATAGTTAGCGAAAAACGCTTGCATGCGTCGGGGTTCCTTTCGCATTTTCTGGGCTAGCAGTTGTGCCCACAATCTGCTGTTTCTATGACAAGGGTTTGGTGATTGTTGCGTTCTGTTCACAAAGTTATAATGGTTGTTGGGGACTGTTTTCCTCCCTCTCCTTCACACCACGTGCAACATGGATGGCATACTAACGTGCGAACAAAAGTTTACGACAGCAAGCAACTGATGACGCCTTATTTTTCAATCCATATACGCAAGTCGTCGACATCTGGCGAAAACTTGTTTTTTTGTTGGCCTTCAATCGTCTGCGTCTTCGTTATTGTCTTGTCAATGCATGTTGGATGAATGCGGGTTTCAAAAGAAGCACACGATTTGTAAACGACAATCCATGGCACTGCATACGAGCACGGTCTCATGCAATCCTGAACAACAAACACAAAAGAATACTAGTACAATATACAAACCACAAGTACGATCGAAAAGTTTGCATTCACAAAGCAAGACAAAAAAAAAAACGTGCATGCTAACATGAAATCTCACCAATCGGAACAAGGACACATAAAAATACTGAGCACGGTTGGAGATGAACTTCCGTACATAATGAGGTAAGAAAATTTGGACGCCGCACAACCAGCGTGGCGACAACGGACGTCCACCATTGTCGCCACTAAAAAACGGTGTAATGCACAAGGTTGAGGAAGGTCCGCGGAGTTTGGCGACGACATGTATGTACACCAATGAACAGAGACGACCACAGAACATGGTCGTCATCTTCCTCCTATTTGTCTATGGACGTCGGCGCTACACGAGGTAGCGCGTTGTCCACCATCCCCCGCTAACGGAGCTGTTTCGTTCTCGACGCGTGCACGTGGCATCGCCCAACGACTCTCTTCATTCACTTTTCCCGCTGCTAACCCCGTCAACGCCGGCGACATCACCGGCGGCACCATCGTCATGCACATCTTCGTCATCATCATCATCATCATCATCGTCATCATCGTCATCATCGTCATCATCGTCATCATCATCACCATCAGCATTATGAGCATCACCGTCATCATCGTCGTGATCATTGTCATGGACATGATCATCATTATTGTTATCATCATCATGATCATCATCAACGTCATAGTCTTCATCGTCCTCATCATCACCATCATCACCACCGTCGTCATCATCGTCATCATCATCATAATCATCATCGTCATGATCATCGTCGTCATCATCATCATCACCATCGTTAGCGTCGCCTTTGTCGCCATCACCCTCACCAGCACCACTGGCGGCAGGACACATGTGCTCGTCGCCGTCGTCCCCGTCGCCGCCATCGTTGTGAAAGACGCCGTCCGCATCAACATCATCATCGTGGAGGCTGTCACCGTCGTCGTCGTCATTGTCACCATCATTCACGCCTCCCCGTCGGCAGGCTTGTCCTCTTCTTCGACGTCGATCTCCGGCAGTCTGGTGCCCATCCAATCCAGTCGCCAGCCGATATCCGGAGACGTCAACGTCGCGTCGTTGTTTAAGGACACCGGGTCCCCGCAGGAAACCCAGTCGGGGATGTACAGCGGAGGGTCTACTAACGTCATGGGGGGCTTCCCCATTTTCTTTGTGACGGCGTTCACGCACTGCAGAACATGGCGCCGCGCGTGGAAGGACTGATGCAGCGACACAATGAGCGTGGGTTTCGCTATGAGCTCCATCAGATGGGACGCCTCATAATGCGAACGGAGATTGTCTCCCATCATCCGCATGATCCACATGGCGGCAGACAGCAGAAGGCGCATGCAGTTGGCGACGTTCCTCAGCCTTTCGTACAAGATCCGACCGGCATCCACCCCCTCCCCCACGTCCACACCATTCGTGAAAGCTCCCACAAGATGCTGCGTTGTGGACTCCTGATACGATGCCATCTCGTCGTCCTCGTGCCTGTCGTGTATGATGCCGCCGACGTACCATATGGGGAGCTTCATATTCAGCTACAAAGTGTTATGGACGACCGCGGGACTCACACATACCCGCCAGTCCTCTCCTAACCAGATGGCGCGGGCCAGGTCTGTGCCGACGTGGTTCAACACATAGCCGTACGCGCAGTGATACCCGCGTGCGCGACAGGGGGACTTGAAGACCCACCCATGGATGGTGCGCAACGTTATTGTCTGCACCCTCCCAGTTCTCTCCTTGGCAGCCCCCAGCTCGAACTCGTCTTCCATCTTCGCCACAGGGATCGTGGAGTTGGGCAACATGATGCTCTTTTTGATTTCCGGCGGTTTCACACCCTTCGCGATGCCCAAGAGGTGCAGGCGAGTGTCCTGGATCATCTTGAACATCCCATGGACCTCTGTCTCGTTCCAGAATCGATGATCGTCGACCCATAGTCGCGCTTTCGCCTCCAAAACCGCCATGTCTCCCGATCGCCTCTGCCTGTTGATGAGCGGATCGTCGTCATCACCATG